GTATTTGGGGTTTGTCTATTTGTTTTATTCGTTTATTTTTAGGTTTTTGTAGGGCGGGGGTGCTTTGGTGTCAAATTGTTAATCCTATAACGGTTTCAAACTAATTATTAGTATGACGGGCTCTGATTTTTTTTTTCTCACACTGCCACAGAAGAAGCAGAATATTATTTTAACTCCTTGTAAACGCAATGGCATTTAAGAAGCCAAACAAAGAAAAACAAAACAAAAATTGTGCAAATCGAGACAGATTATGTGGACAAGAATTTTCCTAATATCTGCAAGCCTATGAATTTTCTGGACCACCGTTCATAAAGCTGTCTTAATTAAGCGGTGCTGTGTATTTGAGGCGGCACAGACGATGTGTGCAAGGGGAGATAAAACGGAAAACCTTCTTTAGAATGATAAAGTATTTCTAGTTGTTTCCCTTATATCAAATTCCACAACGATGATTGTATTAAAAAATAAATCATTGGTCTTGCTTGTTCACTCCTCTACTCCTTAATCTAACTCTTTTTTTTTTGTAAGTGTATTACGGTGCTCGCAACTGCATAAAGTCATATGCACACGAAGACCTTAACCTCTAAGCTCTCTACAACATGTTTTTCTTCGTGAGGCTGGATCGCGCAAGCGGAAGCTCTTATTCTTTTATCATACTGAAGTGTCTTCCTTCTATCTTATTTGTATCTGTTCTATATGGCCTTTGTGGCGTGGAAATGCTTCTCTCCACGAAAACAGTGCACCCCCATGTCTTGAAACTAAAGTAAAACCCCCAAGCATGTCTGTACGCTCATCAACTATCACAGTCAGCAACAATCTCAATACGACCCTTCAATGATGATCCCGGATCAGCGTACTGAGTCAGTTGGCCCAATGGTTAGGCTCTCAGACCCGCAACCGTAAGGTTCGAATCACGTCAGGGGCACGATCTTGTGTCCTTGGGAAAGGTACTTTTTACAAATTTTCCTCACTTCACCCAGGTGGAAATGGGTACCTGGCTATAGACAGTGAACGATTTTTGTCAGTTTGATAGTGTTTGAGCGCGTGAAATCCGCAGCTTGCACTGTAATAGTATGCTTCATCGGAAGCCAAGAATGTTTCTCAAAGTTCTCAGAGGGTTTGATGGGGGTAGTAATAGTTGAAAAGCGCATAGAGCATGCTGTAGAGCATGATTATGCGCTACAAAAAAAGCAATTATTATGAACTTCGTTCCGAATCGAGGGGGGAGGGGCCTGTTATTTTTTTATTTTAAAAAAAATATTTTTGTTGCTTTTTTGAGGGGGGAGGGTGGGTGGCAGGTTTTAACTATTTTGTTTCTCTAGCTCTTGACCAGATCTCGGCTTTCTCCGTATCTCAGACAGACCTGGTCCTGAACACGTTCGTCCGCGTCCACCTGGGCCCCTCCTACCACATCACCACGGGCAACCACCCGCTGCCCAAAAAGGGCGACTCGGAGCTGGCCATCCTGGTGTTTGAGAGTCTCCGGTCCAGCTTCTTCGTGGGACTCTTCATCGGGATCGGGATGGCGCTCTACGCCTCGCTCGTCGTGCATTACCTGCTCAGAGAGAGGGAGGTGGGTCAGGAGATGGGGTGTCGTGGCGGCGTGCGTGGGTGGTCTTCCTCTGACCAGCGTTCCCTGGAGTGCGCATTACAATAAACAAAGATTAGAATATTAATGGAAAATATATTTTCGGATTTGCTGAGAAAAGATAGGAATACATGAAAACGTTACATAGGTAATAGTGTGTGTAAGTGTGTGTGTATGTGTGTGTGTGTGTGTGTGTGTGTGTGTGTGCGTGTGCGTGAGTATGTGTGTGTGTGTGAGTGTGTGTGTTTTGTTTTATGCGTGCATGTGTGCGTGTTTGGTTTCGCTTTTTTCAAACAGCCAATATTCGCACCTTCCTAACAGATACCATCAGAATTTTTAATACAACTGAATATGCGTCTACGGTGGCCTTGAAAAGCTGGGCTAAAAACAAACAGCCACGAACGACGACACATCTAGAGAAACATAAATAAATAATATCAGCATTTTTTTATTCGCTTGAATTTTGTCTTCTAGCCACTTTTTAGAACTGGAAAATGGTAGCAAAGGTCCTAAAATGAATTGAGTTGTCCAACATTTATGAACTGAGCTGAGAAGGGGCGGGAGTCATTGTAATTCAGAAAAAGCAAGGGGGAGTGAGGGAAATATTCAGTGGTGCAAGTGATTACCTTTTCCTACTTCCTTCAATTACCCATCTCCACTACCTGCCCCGGCACATCCCACCTCCCTCCTCCACCGACGCTTAACCCATCCCATTCCCCACCTCCACTCCCCGCCTTTATTCCCCCACTTCCAACTCGCTACTCCATCGCCTCTCCTCACCCAACCCCATCCTCACCTTCCATTCCCCACGCCCCACCCGACTTCCTACCCTCACTCTCCATCTCTATTCCTGACCCACACTTTCCATCCTCACTCCCCCTCTCCACACCACCACCCCCCCCCCTTTCCACATCCTACCCCCCCAACTCCTCCCCCCAACCACCGCCCCCACCCCCACTTCCCACCAACCAGACTGGCGTGAAACACATGCACGCGCTGTTCGGCGTGAGCATGCTCATGTACTGGCTGCCCACCTTCCTGTGGGATGCGCTGAGCTTCGTGGTGCCCACCATCCTGCTCTTCCTCGTATTCTCCTTCTTCGACAAGCGCGAGTTCTTGGACGACAAGAACTGGCTGCTCATCCTCCTGGTCATCTCCTGCTACGTGTGGTCCATGCTGCCCGCCACCTACGCCGTGCACTTCCTCTTTGACACGCCCTCTAGCGGCTTGGTGGGCGTGGTCATCATGAACTTGTTTGCACGTGAGTCTGGGTTTGTTTTTAATAATTTGATTGTTTGTGTGTATGTTTGATAACACCAGATGTACACCGTTAATGGTGTGTTGGTCCGTTATAACAAAACGTTAACATAGGACGATTCAGACAAAGATATTTTTCATCAGCACACATGCACACAAAGCAAGAAGGAACAAACGCTCACGGGCAAAGGACGGCGTACCAGATCTTCCAGAAATTTCCAAACCCCACAACAAAGACAACAATTTGTTAAAACTAAGGGGGGGGGGCGGGCGGAGGAATAGACTGCAGCACTAGTAGTAGTAGTAGTAGTAGTAGTAGTAGTTGTAGTAGTAGTAGTAGTAGTAGTAGTAGTAGTAGTAGTAGTAGTAGTAGTAGTAGTAATAGTAGTATTAGTAGTAGTAGTAGTAGTAGTAGCAGTAGTAGTAGTAGTAGTAGTAGTAGTAGTAGTAGTAGTAGTAGTAGTAGTAGTAGTAGTAGTAGTAGTAGTAGTAGTAGTCGTAGTAGTAGAAGTAGTGGTAGTAGAAGTTGCAATAGCATCAGCAGTAATAACAGCAGTAAAAAGTAGCATTAACAGTAGCAGTAGCAGCAACAATAGCAACAGCAGCACCAGCAGCAGTAGTAGTATATCTAACAGCCCCCCCCACCCCACCCCACCCCCGTAGCACATAACTAACACCCCTCTCAGGACACTCTTGGCTCTTCCCCCAGTTCTACTCAGCGACATCCTGGTCTTCGAGTTCCAGAAGCCACAGTCCACCAACAAAAGTTTCGGCAAGATCTTCGACTGGGTCTTCTCGGCCTTCATCCCGTCCTTCAACCTGTCCCAGTGCTTCGGCTTCATCCTGCGTAACCACAACACGCACAAGCTGTGTCAGCCGTTACAGCCGGACTGTGAGCGGGGCATCGAGTCACTGTGTTGTGTGGACCATCCGGGTGAGTTTGTCTGGCTTGTGGATATTGTACTGAGTCTGTCTGTCTATCTTGTGGATAATGTGCAAAGAAAACTGCAGCTTCATACCATCTAAGTTTAATTTATTGTACAACTTTTTAAATTAATACTATGTCATAGTTCGCAAGGAGAGAAAGATCTCGTTTTCATGAATATTGAAAATCTGATCAAATAACTGATAATTGTTTCTTTTTTTTGTATCCTTGTCCACCTTATAAATTGACGCTGTCTGGTTAGCCCCTGCGAGTATGTCAATGTCGTCTCATAATTTTCGTACTTTAACTTGTTTCGTGAATATTACTGTAGGTTTGCGTCTAGTAGTGTCCACGATGAAGCATTTAAAATGTTTTCAAATAGAATAAGACAATATTAGAACCATCCAATAATAGTGAGATGACCTTTGCTTGTGTATTTCCCCCGACCTGACTGTCCAGAGATTTGCAGGTCGCCGGTATATAAGCACTTAAAAATATTTTATAGTAGAATGAGACAATTTTATTAGGTCCAAAAATAGTGAGTTTCCCTGTGTTTGTGTATTGCATTTTCCCGGAATTGGCTGTCGGGATATCTGTAAATCGCCGGTATGTAAGCATTTAAAATGTTTTCAAACAGAATAAGACAATATTATTAGATCCCTCCAATAGCAGTGAGTTTCCACATGTTTGTGTATTGCATTTACCCCGATCTGGCAATCCAGAGATTTGTAAGTCGCCGGTATGTAAGCATTTAAAATGTTTTCCTATAGAATTAGACAACATTATAAAGAACCCTCCAGTAAAAAGGGAGATTCCCCACGTTTGTAAACTGTGTATTTTTCTTGATCTAGCCGACCAGAGATTTGCAAGTCGACGGTATGTAAGCGTTAAAAGTATTAGATCCCCCCCCCCCCCCCCAGTAAAAGTGCGATTTCTCATGTTTGCGTTTTGTATTTTCCCTAACCTGGCAATCCAGAAATCTATAAGTCGCCGGTATGTAAGCATTAAAAAAGTTTTTGAATAGAATAAGACAAAATTATAATGAATCCTCCAGTAAAACGGAGATTCTCCATGTTTGTGAATTGTGTATTTTCCCCGACCTATCTGTCCAGAGATCTGTAAGTCGGCGGCATGTAAGCATTTTAAATGTTTTCAAATGGAATAAGACAACATTAAATCCATCCAGCAATAATGATATTTCTCATGTTTTGCCTATCCTCCGACCCGGTCGCTCAGAGATCTGCAAGTCGCCAGTGCCCGACTCCCAGTGTTTCGAGTGGTCCACGACGTACACCGAGTGGGACAAGGACAAAGGTATCGGCACCTACCTCCTGTTCATGATCGTCCAGGGGCTGCTCGGCTTCCTCATCATCTTCGTGGTGGAGTTCGGGACTTTCCGGAAGATTGGGTACGGCCGTCCTTTGTCCGTGGTCGTTCGTTGTTCTTCGCTTTATCGCTACCTCAGACCTACTACGTTCTGTCTGATATATTTTTGGCCGTTTTAAGTTACTAAGACCATGAAGTCAGAAAGCAATAATTGTTTTATCTGCTCTATCAAAATCGTAAGAATATTCTGAGTCGTTATCAAGTTGTTTAAAGAACTGCATTCGAAAAATCTGGATATAATTATTGTGAAACTAAACAACTTCGACGTCAAATCTCTCAAACTTTGTAATTTTGAATTACGTCCTTATTTTCCCCCTTTTGTCTTTTCTTTGCCCGTTGCTCTCTAGCAACACCTCTAGTCTTCAGCACATAATATAGTGTGATCTATTTATGTTGCAAATGCCCTAAAACTGTTACTAAAACGAATGCTCCTGTGTGGGTGTTTGCCGTCCAGCCAGTGCTGCGTGAAGTGCCGGCCTTTGTCCCTGCAGGGCGGGAAACCCAGGCAGAGCGTGGACGAGGAGGACGTGCTGAGAGAGAGGACCCAGATCCTGAACTCTGACTCTGCAGCGCTCTCCGAGACCAGTACGTATTCAGCAGGGGGTAGAGATTAGTTTAGTTTTTGTGACAGTTGTACGGCACTTGTAACACGGGTAGGTCACAAAATTACCGAAGATTAGAGGTGTTACAGGAGAGCACACTTAATACAAAAAGAGAGGAGAGATAAGGGCAATAATATATGTTTGCCAGGAATAAAGAAGCAAACCGTATCAGATCACACTCACACTACCCACAACGGTACGGTATTGAAAAACATTTAACTCTTGGTTTTACCCGCCTCCCCCTCCCAAAGAAAAGACACACACATACACACAGAAATTTTGATTTTAAAAAATTAACAAACTTCGATCTTCCTTGAGACGGGTTGCTTCGACCCTGCCTGTCAAGACTTGCCCAGGCTGAAAGGGATACAACGTCGCAGCAGAAAGCAAGAGATATTCGGTAAACATTCTCCCCAGGCGGGAATCGAACTCATACTTAGTGTGTGCAACAGCAAAGAACCTAGGTGCTATAGCACATACTCTGGTGTATGGTATGTGTTTGACAACCATTTGAATATGGTTACCTTTCACTAGCTGATTTCCAATGGATCAAATAGAAAACGGATATATGAAATGGGGTATCTGATTTCAGCGTCCATCACCTGAAAGCTCCGTGTGCCTGTCTTTCAGGCGATCTTCTTTCTTTCGAGGATAAAAGAAAGAAAGATCACCTAAAAGACAGGGCGAGGGAGCTGGAAGCCTATGACAGCTCCTGAAAAAAAATGTGAGACTGAAAACGCACCTTCGAGGATTCGAGCCTCGGATGCCAGCAGCGCAGTCTCAGTATGACTACAACTGAACTAACCATACGTACCCTAAAGGCTCTGCCGATAACGCGTAAATGGTTCTACTGTCTACTCAGTTTGTTTGTTTTTTTAAAACCAGGGTCTAATGTTTCATACGTGAAAGGTAAACATAAGAGTACGCTTTTCCACCTTCACATTATTCTTCTTTCCATAAAAGCATAGACTGGCCTGGATATGGCAGAATGTGCAACGGCAGCTAGCGACCGTAAAGGATGGAGGGTATTTATTTACACGTCAACATCTTAGTCAGAGATGACACTTCTAGGTATCCAGGTATCCAGATTTCCAGGTATTCTTCTGTCCCCAGTACCTCTTACGCGAAACGTAAACCTTCTTCTTTCCCCAGTGCCTCTCCTGATGGTGAACTTACACAAGAAGTACGGGAACACTGAGGCAGTTGACCACATTTGTGCCGGAGTCCCCTATGGCGAATGTTTCGGCCTGCTGGGTCAGAGCGGGGCGGGGAAGACAACTGTGTTCCGGATGTTGACAGGGGAAACAAACGTCACATCTGGGAATGCGTATTTGAAAGGCTACAGCGTTCGCACCAATCTCAAGATGGTAATGTCAGTCTCTTTGCACTCATTTCAACAAAACTTCGTGAAAATGAAATTCAGTCATTGCGATTTCAAGTTTTTAATATATGAATAAAATCAAACGGCGTGTTAAAAAAATATCAAGTTTTAAAAATCAGCCAAAATTGGGAAAACGCAAAACTAAACGAAAGTAAATGTTATACATGAGGTATAAAGACTCGACCTAGAAACATGCTACTGAGTTATTCAAAACTTCCAGTTGCGTGTTGGAGTTTGTATGGAGAGAAATGGTCATCACCTGGATTGGGTTGTTTTTTCTTTTTTTCTTTTTTATTCTTTTAATCTTTTTTTTTATTCAGGCCCAGAGCCACATCGGCTACTGCCCGCAGTTCGACGCCCACATCTGTGAGATGACGGGTCAGGAAACACTGACCATGTACGCCCGTCTCCGGGGCATCCACGCGGGGAGCATTCCGTCCCTGGTGGACAACCTGATAGAGAGGGTGCTGCTGGGACCGCACGCCAACAGAGTCTGTGGGACCTACAGGTCGGTTTTAGGACTCGTTTTGCTCTGAGAAAATGACGGTTTTAAAATATTTTTTAAAATTTCGAAAATTCTGTTTCCTTCCTTCCGTATCGTGTTTTGGATTTTGTTAGTTTTATTTTATTTTAATTTATTTATTTATTTTTATTTTGTTTTTTTTTTTGT